GGCTCTTTTTCCACATTATTGGAACGTTCTGATCGTTTTTTTTTTCTGAACATTCGAGAAATTTTCTCAAGTACGCTTTTAAATTATCATCACTTACTGTATCTCTGCTCCGCGTGGATCGAAGGCAGGCTTGTCTTCGTCGTACGACCAGATTCCTTCTGCGATGACGGTGATTGCTGGCATCGTTTGGTTGGACTTTCGGATGAAAGTGTTGAAAGTCTTGTTGGCTCGTATCTCGCAGACGAGAAACATTCCTAAGCTACACGACGTGATTGTACACTCAGAAACACCACCGATAGCGGTAACGCAGTGTTCCGTTAGGCTTTGGCAAATATGAGGATCGACTATGTATCAATCTCGACTGGCGATTAGATATAAAGTTTTTACTACAGTCTTTATTCACAAAAGTTCACGTTTCGCCGGATTTCGTCTTCTTCAGACCCTGCGAAGGTCAATTTAACATGAAATCTACCCAGCCAAGCACTTTCGTAACATCAGCAGATAAAACTTGGAGTATAATTTCTATTCACTAGAAACATCTTCGCTCAAACACTCACAGTTCTGTAAGTTTTCCAGTTTTTGTTGGACAGAGGCTACACAGTCCCTCACAAAGGTGGGGTTGTGTGGGGATGACTCAAGTCAAAACATCAGCCATCGCTATGGTGGGACGTCAGGTATGAATTACAAGGCACACTCTTAATTTCGGGTCAAATCTGGATTTTTGGAACTTACCGAAAACGTTTCAAGAGTTTTACGCGTCAATGCTTTAGGTCCTTGTGTGAGGGTACCGTCTTTTCCCTCAAAATATTCTGCGCTGTGCTTTCGTTGCTATGCGTGCCTAGTGGTTTTCTGATTAACGTTAAGTTTCCCAACTAGGTGTTCTTTTACACGGTCGTGAAGTAGACTAAGTGTTTTGTTAACCTATTTGTCTCCACATGCTTTTCAAAAAACAGATAAATCGTACGCAAACTCATGCAGTCGCAGTCGCTACCACTACATATTATGCAGTTTTGCGTTGTGCATAGATGTTCATACAAGCAGTCAAGAGCTAGCTGACTTTTCATCAAAGTGTTTGATGGTATTTCAACCACTGTTAACAAATTCCCTAGACCGTCTCCGTTTTAGGAAAGTTTTATTCGTTTAAAGTAAGGAGCAAAATGAACGGTCTCCTTTTCTTAAACCTATCGTTTGTAGCCATAGTTTTTGCTGTAAAGTAAACCTCTCCTTAAGCGTATACGAACCTAGAGAAGTTTTAAGGAAAAGAACACATTTTTATAGTTATCAGTAAAGATTTTAACGGTAAAATTGGACCTAGAAGAATGTCTGAAGAACCTCACATCGGAACCCAAGGATTAGGATGGAGCGAGCAGGGTGAGCGACTCTCTGAGTTTATCATGACGACCAAGAACATCCAAGGTAACTCGCAATTCCAAAAGCCGCGCCCTCAACGCTGGATGTGGGAGTCTCTCAATGGAGAGTACCATAACGAAATAGACCACATCATGATAAATAGAAGGTTTTGCCTAACCGATGTCACTGCTGTTTCAAAATTCTGCACGGAATCAGACCATCGCTTTTCTTTGCAAGATTTCATCGCTTCCAAAGAGCAGAAAAAACTGCTAAATTGAAGGAAAAACGAAGTCGCAAAACAACCATGAATTGACATTATTCATTTCATTGGCAGGCTGTTAGAAAGATGCCGTTCTCGCTAACATCGACAAGGAACATGATCAGCTCATTCAATATCTTCACATTAGTGCCATGAAGGCTGAGAGTTGAAAAGTCATCGAGACGCCTCTCTTCAGAAAAATCCAAACTGATATGCCAGCGTGAGTACGAGCTACAGACAACCGTCGGCTCACCTCCGACCTTGCAAAACAATGCACACAGGCGATAAAAAATGTTATTAGAGGAAGAAGAATAACCCCTACGGTCGGAGGTGCATGGACTGAAAGTAGCATTTGCAAAGCCCTGCAACAAACTTCGCCGATTACAAAACCAAGAGGATGACACTACGACGCCTAGACGAGACAGTTATTATATCCAGAAAGGCAGTAGAGAAAATCATTCGTGATTATTACTCACATCTCTTTGGTAATCACGTCCCACTGCTGTCACATGAAAGAAAGAAGGATGGATATGTCGTTCGTACCACCGGCTCTCCTTTTCGAAATCCGATGTGCCATTTCGTCAGTGAAAAGTCGATGAGCACTAGGTCCGGAGAGGATAAGATCTAAACACCTAAAGAACCTTCCGCCAGTCCTTGTAAACACTCTGGCTCAGCTCATCACACGTTGCCTTTCTGAATGCAAGAGTCTTGCTCAGCAGAAAACTAGTAAGACCGTGCTATTGTCCGAGAAAAGTGACCCCCATGATATTGACAACTATCGCCCAATCTGTCTGCTGTCTGTTGTCTATAAACTTTTCACTCGAGACATCCTAGATGGGATTGACAGAATACTAGAGGAAGGACAGCGATGTGAGCAAGCACTGTTTCGAAAAAGATTCGGTTCGATGGACCAAATCGACACGATAACACGACTCATTGATCGTCGATTTAAAGAAGGCTTTTGGCCCAGTTGAGATGGAAGCAGTTATGGAATTCCTGGATAGACAGGGAGTTCCTACTCAGTATATAAAGTTTCTTCGTGACCGATATAAACACTTTGTAACCAAAATATCGGCATTCTTCAATGGGACGTTAAGACCGATTTCAAAAGAGAGGTTAGACAGGGCGATACCGTCTAGCCAAAATCATTTATTCGCCACCATCGAGAACGCCATGCGAATACTGCAATGGCAAATCATGGGAGTCAAAATCGATGGTCCGTAATTACACCATCTTGGCTTTGCTAATGAGGTCATTCTTATAACATCAAGCATTAGTTCTGCGGAACGAATGCTTCTCGACTTCGACAAAAGCCGTAGAAAGATTGGTCTTCGACTAAATCTCACAAAAACCATGTTTATAAGGAACGGGTTGGTTATGTATGCCTTATTCGCGCACAAACGAACCAGTACCTCGGAATGCTCCAATTACTTATATCTAGGTCAAGAAAACAACATGAGGAACGACCCAGCTCCAGAGTTGACCAGTTGGAGGAGGGAGCGAGCCTTTTGGAGAGCTTTTATAGGCATCGAAAATATGATAAAGAGAAAAGAAACCAGAATATAGTGATTGCTAGTGAAAATTAGGTCTTTGAGACAGTTTTGGGCCCCGAATATTCACTAGCCTTAAATAGAATGCTCGACTTCGTAGGATGTTGCCACGCAAGACATTTTCGTTGTTGTCACATAGCAGTGCTTGGAACTCGGGTAATTGAACTATTTATAACAGCAGTAATGCAAGAACATTGGTAGCTTTGCTGTAAGGTAGTGAAGCAATACCATGTGCATACTGGAATCATCAGTGATGGTAGGCACTTTAAGGGGTTCATGTAAGGCAGTAACACCTGACTCTGAGAATATGATAGGGTTACACACTATATGTAGGCTTTTGTTGTCGTTCTGATGAGATTAACATGTTAAGGGATCCATGTAAGCTTGTGATTACATTGCGACGAGGTTATCGTGTTATGCAGTGCATGCAATCTTGTGATAACATCAACTTATATTGGCCGCACAATGGTGTTAACGTGTTTAAAAGTACATGACGGAAAATAAGTTTAATGTACAATAGTGACCACGTGCGATAAGAGCTAACAACTTGGAGAACCTACATTGCTTAACGCATAAGATTGATGGGATGACGTGGCCTAACGAGACGAATAGGAAGTGACTCAAGAAGCCATTTAAATGCTTCCTGGAGGAGGCAGCGTTTTGACACAGATCCAGAGCTTTCACTGAAAACATTCGCGAAATTGCGCCTCCAAACGCTCATGACCAAATGAGATAACGGAAGACGATTTCCCAAACAACTTCTTGCCCGTCTTGTTATTGTGTGCTTGAAAGCTTCGAACAGAAATAACACACAAAAATTTCCAATCGCACAAAGAGGTTTGCATAGCAAAGGCTGTTTGCGCCAAACAAAGTTTTTCAGGATCAAATGGAAACATTTACACACTGCCATACTGTAAAGCGATATGAGGAAGAGCGAATGTGGTTACTGTAGGAACGTGCGATAAGATAAAAAAATAGTAACTAACTATTCCGGAAATAGTTGCTATATACTATCTGAAAAAAATTCTAACGTCAGCACCGAAGATTTAAAAGTGTGCTTTGATGGGGCAAGCTCGGTATCTCTGGAGCAATTAGCTATTTCAAAGCACAAAAGTGAATTACGAATACGTGCCATCTTATGGTTACTTATCAAAACCCGTAAATTAGCTTAAACCCTGCTCAAGAAAAAAACACTAATGGGGTCGGAGGAAGTAGAAAATCAGACCAGAGAATTGATCCATATTCTGTTATTTGAATGCGTATAATGGCTTGTGAGAATGCACATCCCTATTAGTTCAATCAACGTAATGATTTCAACTTGTCTTCATTACAGAGCACAATCAGTCATAAAAAAGATAGAAATTTAGGTAAAAGGTGAAAAAAGATGCAAAAGAAGATTTAAGATGAAAAAATAACAATATTACAGTATTTTTTTATTAGTTACTCTATGAGCAACACGTTTCCTTCTCATCACTATTCTTAGCACTTTTCTGAAATTGTCAGACGTTTAATTTGAAGCTTTTCCCCGTAAACAATTTAGCAATCAATTGCTGAAGATTGTCAGCAGCTTAAGACACAGGCTAAACAGGAACGATGACTTTCAGTTGAAGCACCGATGTACTTCCTAAAATATCCGAGCTCTACCGACCTTTAAGTATCCAGTTAGTGAAACGGTGCGTGAAAATATGCACCTGACGAAACTAAAATGAAAATAACCGATAACGACAAGATACAAAACCCTTTTCCACTTTTTTTCGTTAGCAGACTGTGAACTACGCTGGCGTAGCAATCGATTATTGATTGAAATAGACCGACAGCCTCTCAATGTGACGTTTTCAGAGATGCGATGCATTATTTTCGTCATTTTTTTCACTAATGGTGCAGTAACTTCGGTGAGTAATGAGGATCATCAGATTGTCCTCACCGCTCACGGAATGAGCATAGAAGACGCCAACAATCGGATCGTAATACCCAGTAAGTGCGGCATCTATCGTAATCACGCTGGTTAACTCCAGCCGCTAAACGTCATTGTGAACAATGCGGTAATCTACAGAGAGAACTCTATTTTCATGCATTTTCCACTTTTCAATTCTGATCCTTTATTAGCTACGTTGTTTCCTAACGGTTCTAAGGTAGCAGCTTACAATTTAGTTCAGTAAGTGAGCGAACGTGATAATTAAAAAATGAGATATCTGCAAAACTCCGGATCAGCAATCACCCGTCAACGGGATTGATCTGGGAAGCCAATATCGGCATTGAACTCAGTTAAGCTGAGGCCTCGTTATAATCACAATCTTAACTCTTTTATTTACTGCCTTTTTCTTCTTAATGGCAAAGATCAATAGAACTAGCTGAGATACATGCAAAGCGAAGGACCCGGATGGTGTAGTGGTGAAGTGCGCTGCTCCCTGGTAAGGACAACAGCGCGTGTTCGTTCTCCACTGCATACACCTGTGGTCCGGAGTTTTGCAGATATCTCAGCACTTCATACGAGTTAAAAAATGAGATGTCATCTGAAGAAATTTTCCTGAAGTCATCTGAAGAAAAGAGAAAATTTTCCTGAAGTCATCTGAAGAAAAGAGAAAATTTTAAATTTTTAGCTTTAAAGCTTTTTTCGTCGGCCTTGCGGTTTTGTCAGACCGTCGGTGCGCTCCTTTAAACCGATAGGTTTTTGCCTGAAATCTTTATTGTTTTCTCCTGCTCAATTTTCGAGTGAAACACAGTAGAAAACGCGCACATACCCACATGACGGTTAAACTCGAGCGCGATCGATGTGCATGTTTTGCATTACTTTGTTTCTGCGATTTCTGAGCGCAGCTTTACCTCTCGACACTATTTCGTTTAAATCAGTAGCCGTCTATTTAGTACGAAATGGCCACATTCCACCTCTACCATGTGTTATGGCTAACGCTGGCACTCATAAACACGGTGAGACCTTCACTCTCAAGAATTTCCACTATCAGTGCCATAATGGAACAGCTGAAGTTGTTGGTGAGTTTAACAGTAACGGTTTTGGGGATCTTCCGAGACAGTAATTCGGCTGTAAACTTTTTCGCTATCTGCTATTCAGCTTGCATTGCCGATGACCAGTCAGTAATTCAGCTTGGACGCACTTTCATAAAAAATGGGATGAAGCATAAATGCTCGATCATTGGTGATTCAGTCACCTATGAGCAAGGTTGGTCTTTACAAGCATTCCATACTCAGACGCTTCCTAATAGTTCGCATCCCCTTATGCTCGCTTGATATCGTTTGTTAATATTTTGTTTATTTCATTCCACAAGGCACTTAAAGGAGACGTGTTTAAAGCTACTAAAGAACTGAGCGGTGTGTAAACGCCTTTATCTGATCATTTACTACAGCATTATGAAGCACCGATGTAGTAGACAAATCTTATCGATTGCGTGAAAAGAAGGTTCTTTAGAAACAAACCTCATACTTCCAGAAACTGTCATTTTTTTCACAGAGGCGATGTGCTTCGACAATGGAATTCAGTATTCTATCGGTGACATATTTCGCAACGGTTCGTTCCGACTCACCTGTGGACGAGATGGAATCGTCATTGAAGGTGGGCGCGACCAACTAACATCTCGTTTTCTATACCCCCTAACTGACTTCTCAAATCTGAATACACCTGATTATGAGACTTCTACAAAATTACTGTGATGACTTGGGGATATAGAACAATGTGGTAAAAATCTAGCACGATCTGCATAAGAGATAGTTTAAAAAATAAAATAATCACTTAGCGTCTTTGCGGTTTTTGACGTCAATGCTGTTTGAAACGACGCGCTTGCTGGTTTTTTAACAGCAGACGATATTTTTCGGTAACTAGAGGCGCCGCTACCCACTGCGCCACATGAGCCCCTAGAGATTGAATAAATAGAAAAAACAATAGAAGAGATCTAAGTGTATCGTTCCAGGGCATGAGTGCTGCACACGCTACGTTTTTCCTACTACAGGCGGCTAGAAAACGACATTTCTGTTAGAACTTGAAAGTGTTTTGAAACTTACGTTTAGTCCACTTTTTTGATACCCGACCATTCTGCGGTAATTATGATTCATTACAATCACTGGAATTAAATGAAAGTCAAATAGCAGTCAAATTACCAGTCAACAAACTCGTCCGAAAAAAGTTCTTCATAAACGATTAGGTGTAGAGAACAGATTTTCTGATCCGATTCCATAAATATCACCCTGCTTTCGATATTCTATCGAATGACTGAAAAAAAGTATAGTAAATAGGAAAACACGTGAACCACTGAAAAGGGTAATCACAGGTTCGAAGCTAGTCCGGAGTTCCGAGTTTTGAAAATATCTCAGCATCATTTTCGTTACAAAAAAACGATTCAATGCGGCAAAATCAACCAGTGGAAAGAAAATGCATTCCATGCAATCTTATCCTTCACTCAGGTAGTTGTATACAACACATATCGTCCGTTACATCTAATGGAAAAGAAAAACAAATTGCTCATACGGTTTAATTACCTTGTGTGCGCCAGTGATGAAGTAAAGAGATGGAGCAAAATTAGCGAGTTCGATTAGGAGGACTACAATCTTTGCTGCCTCCAAGAAAATCGGATGTTTGCCTGGTCAACATGTATTTTCACACCTGTGAAAGTAACAAATATGATTCGAGAACAGCAACAATATGAGCGATGACGCGTGTGGTGCAGTGGTCGGAGGCGCCCTGCAACTCACACGTAAGATTGATCCCCGCGCCCGTGGCCCACCAAGTTTTCCATGCCTCCGGGATCGACAAACTGTTACGAAACTTGCCTGAGAGGATAGCAGCACTGGCTCAATACATCGTTAGGCCAACGCGAGTCACTGTAAAGGCCGGATATGCATTCAATCATCTGCAAACCATGCTTAGTGAAGTTAAATGTACGGCACATTCCTGAGGAATTGATCAACGCCGAGAGGTCTATCTTTTCTCCTTTATGAGTAATGACTGGTTAACACTTTCGTGACGACGCTGGCCTTTCCCCAATAATTTCTTGATCAATAAAGTATTTCGTGAGTTCAGAACCTTAAAAATTCGTAGAAGAAAATTTATTCTATAGTATTAATAGTGCCTATAATTTCAATGATGCTGAGATATTGTTATGCTGAGATATTTGCAAAACTCCGGACCGCAGGTGTTTCCGGTGGGGAACGAACGTGCTATTGTCCTTTCCAAGGAGTAGCGTACTTCACCATCACACCATGCGGGTCCTTCGTTTCGCCTGCCTCTCAGCTAGTTCTGTCGACCTTTTGCCATCAACAGTCACCCGCCAACGGGGACTGATCTGGAGAGTCCAAATCGGCATTGAACCCAGTTAAGCTGAGGCTGTAGTTATAATCACAATCTTAACCTTTTTATTTACTGCCTATTCTTTTTAACGGCAGGATATTTTGCGAAATATAACTATTGTAATGCTGAGATATCTGCAAAACTCCATACTGCATATGTCTGCAGTGGCGAACGAACGCGCTATTGTCCTTTCCGGGAAGTAACGCGTTCGCCACCACACTATGCGGGCCCTTCGTTTCGCCTGTCTCTCAGCTAACAAAGAGTAGGTTGTAAATAATAAGTTGAAAGTGTGTATAATTTTTATACGGTGCTTTTTCAAATTTAAATACGTTCGGAATTGGTAATTCCATGAAATATAAAATCAAACTTGCAAGTTTTTAAATCTCCAACGCAAAAGCGACAAGCGAAAACACAAGAGATACAAAGGCAAACACCATCGTGCGCTGCTCTATGAAAGTTCGTTTGTCAATTTGCTTTCACGTTTGGAACGTTTAAGCAAAAGAATTGGAAGAATTATATGTCGTTGGTCTTGAAAATCAACGGTTTAATCGTGGTGTAGCGGAGGAACATCTTTGCTGTATGCAAAGATTTACAGATTCTAGCAATTTCTACGGCGTTTAACAATTTTGGCTGTGAGCCGAGATATGCTGATTTAAAGTCGAAAGCAGCCACTATTTTGGAATCGTATAATTTCCACGGTAGCCATGTTTTCGCTTAAGTGTTAATCTGCTCCCCCAAGCAATCACAACTCCTACTAGAACTGTTCAGAGCTAAACTATCAGTGAATAATTCTTGTTGCAGGGTGTTATTTACAAAATTCTATCGACTACTTGATGACCGGTGAGTCGAGAATTATTGGACGAGAGCGTCATGAATGTGAGATACTAGGCGATGGGAAGGTACGGTACCAGGTTAAAGGTGCGTTTAATTTTCATCTCATTTGCACATTTCGACACCCATCCATTCCCACGGTAAGGCCGCACAACCATAAAAGGGTTATGAATGAGATTAACATAGAGAGATCGACGTCCATCATTGCCTTAAAGATGCTAGCACCCTTTCGTTAGGCATGGTAGAGGTTGTTGATTGCATAGGTTCAAACAATGACTAGTGGAAGCCTACCGATGTACAAAGTCAGTGTTTTTATCTTTTCAGATACCATTTCTCCGAACACAGATGAATGGATAGTTTGATTTGTACGTTGTGCGAGATCAAACGCGTGACCAAATATGCATTATAGGAAACCTCTATCCACTATGCAACAAATGTCCTTCTAAATGATATACTTACTTGATACTTGAACGACCCGTCCTCACTAGTTGTGCGGGTGCCAGCATAATCACCATTTTTCGGAGATTTACTGGTTAAGCCATTGTGGTTTCCTGGAATCCCAAGCTCAGCCAGGCTAAAGTCTGCCCCAGGTCGTCACCACCACAGGCAGTCGCGGCCCTTGCGGATCAAATGGAGATTTGCCACCATGCGACTTTGATACCAGGACTGTGGTGGATTTTGGCAATGGCTTACTCTTAGCTAGGCTTCCTGATAGGAACGCCTATGGAAATGGTAAATGATATATTTATAATAATTTAGGCTTATGTGGCAAGTTGTTTGTCTTTCGTTATTACACTACGAAATCGATACATAGCAATCGAGGACAACTTAAGGCTATTGTTATTTTCGTGTAGCAATTGTGAACGTGGAACAGTATAAAGCGAACATAGAAAAAACACGGCAGTATTAAAGGACAGAGGTTATTCTCTAGATGCTAGACAATAATCTTTGTAGGGCTACTTACTACTGGCAACATCTCTTCTAATACAAGTGTGGCGAATGTATTCCTACCAACTTCTTGTCACTATCCGTTTTATTTTTCTTGCTGACTGCTTTTCCTGCGTGAGATTCTCATGTATTTCATCTCTCACTTTTTTTCATACGACTCGTCTTCCACATCTACTCTACGAATCCCAGCACTTCTCGCATTCGATTCGTTTACTCCAATACCCTCATCTACGAAGGTCTCTCAACTTCTTGCGTATGGCTTTGGTTGCTGCTTGAGGATTTTCCCTTCATCTTGGTTGTTCTAGAATGCTCTCGAGTCGTTTCTTTCTGGAGTCCTGAGATAGCAGGACTGGAGCGTTCCTAACTGAATTTCAACGAGTGATTTTTACGGACAGGTCTGGTAGCAATTTTCCGACTACGGGGGTAGCAGAGGCTTGTTGGACCCGGAGCGGTATCGAACCAGTAGCGTGCTCGTGGTTATCTGCATAACTACCCCTGTGCTATCCGCCCCGTTCCATCAGCCGCATAGCTAGCGAATATCTATTGCATTCCATGGGAATGAAAATGAATCCGGCAAATTTTCCAAATCAAACAAAAACGTATAACGTTACAGAAAACACGTCCACCAGAATAGCTTTGTTTTCTATCAAATTATTTCAAATATTCGTCTGGTAGCTCTCGTCCTATTGTACATCGAGTGATTCGAGCAGGCTCCAGTAAATTTACCATTCCTCCTTGTCACGTGCAACAGTACTCCAGTAGATTTTGTTCGCTCTAGGAACTCATTGAGCATTGTATCTTTCTTCCAGTGTTTTCGTGAAGAATTATGACCCCCGGATCGGTACTCCTCCTGCAGTACTTTCAAAACCCCGTGAAAACCAGTTGCTGATGGCTCTTTTCCATCGGCTGTCGTTCATACGCATTTGGTGTCCAACCCAGCTTATCTCTGAGGGTTTGGGGTATAGAGCAGTGTTTTCATTTTTGATCGTTGACGTAGGTTGGAGCTTCGGATCCTTTTGTTTACTTGCGTGATACGGGATACTCCTAGCATCGCTCTTTCATCCTCATTACGTTGCCACCAGGTTTCTGAGGCATTCGTTAAGGGAGGGAAAATCGTCATCTCTAAAGGTGGACACGTGCTTTTTGTTTTTTCCACTATATTGTCTTTCTTCTTGGAACTCTCCGAACAGCTCACTTTCTCATGCTCAGCTCTGAAGTTAAGTTGTTCATTGTTGACTTTTCGCGCTGGATAAATGTAACTGGAGCATTTCGAGGCACTGGTTCCGTTGAGCGTTAACAGGGCATACATAACCAACCCGTTCCTCATAAATATGGTTTTTGTGAGATCTAGTCGGAGATAAATCTTTCCACAGGTCCAATTAAAGTCGGCAAGATTCGTTCACACTGCCTAATACTTGATGTTGTGAGCACGTTGTCATCAGCAAAGAGATGCTGTAATTGCCAAGCATCGACTTTCGCTCCCAATATTACTGCCATTAAATCAAATTATTTCACTTCTATTTAATATATCTGAAAATCGACAGGTAGTGCAATGGTTAGCGACGCAATTAATTAGTTAATAAGGTGCTGGCCAAACGTGCTACCTAACACTCTCCTCAAGTCAACGTGGGCATCTCAGCAGCGCTCTACTAGCCTAATAAAGAAAACGAAATCTTCAAGCAACAGCCAGAAGCAACGCGAAATGTTCGGAGACCTTTGTGGACTATAAATGCGAAAAAAAGTGGTCGAGTGGAAATGTTGGGATCCGCAAATGTGATGAGGGTTCTCGTGAAATAAAATAAACAAAAAACTCTAAAAATCGAAGATATTTAGCACTAAAGTAACTGTGCCACATGAATAGACATGTCGTAGAATACATACTGGATTGATTACTGGTTCTACTCACGTTCTTGGTTCACCAAACTTTCCCTCCAGTGTCCACAAATTGGTACCAAACTTTTTACTATACAGACCAGATAGGCATTAAATTATTGTAACAATGCTACGAAAGGATTAGATACATCACGCAAGAGCTGACTAACGGCAACGCTTTTTCCTATACTTTATCGTCCATCTTATATCCTTTTATTACAGTAATTGGTTGCGTTTGGGAAGGCGAACACTACAGCATTGGTCAGGTGTTTACTGATAAACATGTACGATATCAGTGCAATAACGACGGCTCGTTGGATGTTCTGGGTGAGTCGCTTTCCAAACTACTTTGATCAGGTGGCGTTCCACCAAAACCATGCTCTCTGATGAGTTTCACTGACATATTAACATAAATCAATAGGATTATAAGGAAACTCCCCAACTTCGCGATAACTCGTTGCTGTAAAGAGATTTCTAAATTCGGTAGCAATTGAATAGTAAAGATTACTTATCCTCATGGAACGTAACAAATGAGGCACAAGTATAAATACTAAATATCCTGAACTGCATCTTCTCCAAATTCGAAGAAGATTTTCTGAGAGCAACTACTGATGGCCTAAGGTAGTGATCAACATGTATTCTTCTTTTAATAAGCTTACACAAGGATAATAAGCAATTTTTGTTTGGCTAACATTTCGACGTCTTCGTTTTCATCAGAGCCGACGATTCGAGTCGATAGTCCACGGCTCCTTCACGGTCCACGATTCGAGAAATGCTCCACTGAGGAAGACACAACTCAATGCGAAGGAGAAGACACCACATTAAGACGAAGAAGAACCGTGGTCTATCGACTCGCATCGCCAGTTCTGATGAAGGCGAAGACGTCTAAACGCTAGCCGAATAAAAATTACTTATCAACCTCGTGTTAGCTTATCAAAGAAAAAATACGTGTTGATTAGTAATACCGACGGTAAAGGAAAGTGGTTTTGAAGGTAGTAATAATGAACACAGTACTCGCGTTTTTCTTGAGCGCCAAAGGAAGTTTCTTAAAACATGTTTGCCTTTGAATACAGAAAACAACTTTACCAAAAAAGAAATTCATTAATAAAACAGAAAACGTTCGGTCAGAAGTAAATGGTGTTTAGGTTGCGTTGATGATGGAGTGTTTCTCGATCTCGGTCGTGATCTCTTGATGAACGGTATGGTGCACAGATGTTATCGAGTGGACACTACGACGATCTACCACAAGTGCGCCACGCCCTTTTGTTTATTTCAACAAAACAAAGATAAAACTCTAAAAAAAGCTCTCGACGTTGATTAGTTCCTGAGCGATGCGCCATGCATTCGACCTTATTGTGCATCGTTTGGAGGTGATTTGGGAAGAATGCATATCTGGCCTTTACAATGACTCGCGGTGGCCTACCGATGTATCGAGCAAGTGCTGCTATCCTCCCACACAAGTCTGGCACCAATTTGCTTACCGCGGAGGGATGGAAGGTTTGGCGAGCCACTGGCGAGGGAATCGATCGCAAGTGTGTGTTACAGGGGTCCCTCCGACCACTGCGCCACACGCGCCCATAATATGTTCTTTAGCAGCAGAAATCTTTCTGGTGCAAAGAACAGGTTCGTACCATTGAGTTTTTCAGCACTTTGACGTTTAGAGAACATTCTCGAAAACTTATATGTAAAACAAATTAAACAGTCGTTAAAAAAAGATTAAAAGCACTGGAAATTTTAAAATTTGGACCCACTATCCTATATCTTTCTATGTTTGCATTGAAGTCAACAGAAATGGCTACAATTTAGGCCAATTAGTATTGTGCGAGCTAGGACTGCGAAACAAAGAAGGCCGCTTAATCGCTAGCGATCGACGGTGTTCCTTTGTTTATCGAATTTATTGATATGAGTAAAAAGTGCTGCGGATAGAACTATTTATGGAATCTGAGCACAAACGACGTTGCTGCTCTTCGGAGAAAAGACTCCTTTTGCAGTTCTCGCATTATCAGTTATATTACTAGGAAAGTTTAGAAGAAAACGTTTGTTGTCTTCTCACTCCAAAACGATCGAATGAACGCATTGAATTATGGAGGAGCATTCAGAAAACCTTCAATTGAAACAGAAATCGCTCGACTACTTCGTACTAAGGTTATCTTGTGAGTGATCGTCAAATTTTGCTGTGCTCCACCTCACCTGAGAGCTCTCGCAAACGTTTGAGCCAGGTTCATTCGGTGCGATCCCAGGTAGTAATTAAGGGATTAAGTGACAAAATTGTCTCTTGTTGTCCATATATGCATAGTTACATAACTTCATACATAAAGGTGAGGGCGTAGATAAATGTATGAGAGTTGCTATCTGAACCACGCATGTACCACAATGTTTAGGCGTACCGTGCAACGTTCACGTAGGTCTTGGTTCAGCTGCGCGCCCGGGGCCACCAGTCTTTTCATTCGATCGGGGTCGGAAAATTGGTAAGAGATTTGGTTGGGTTGTCGAGAACACTGATATACATTGGTAGACCATCGCAAGTCACTGCATAGGCCAGATATGCATCCCTTTAACGATGTTTGATTAAATCGGTTCCGTGGTCTTCAGGGATCGCTCAACACCGAATGCCATATTCTTTATACCTCGATGCACTTTCCAGCTTTCTGTGAATAACTCCATCATCCCATTTTTTCTAAAGAGTTATATCAGCGTCATTATTCTTCATCAGCACTATAAGTAGCCGCCGATTTTCTTCCCGATGTTTTCAATAAGAGTTGATAAGGCAATACTTCTTAAGTTTAAATGCATAGTTATACTTATATATATAGTTATATATATATATATAGAGGGAAGATACAAACTTTAGAAATATCTACTGGCATATAGCATAAAAGCACAAAGCATCTAGCATTGACCATTCCCTTAAAACATGTCACACATTGAACTCCATTCCTGTCATCAGAGAGCTGTTTGGTTGCATAAGTAACCTACACTTTCAGTGGCCTACCGTAGTCTTTCCACTCCTAAATATGTCTGGTACTAACCTGCTGATGCGAAAGGATTGGGTCAAGGCATATCCTACCCACGCCGTAGGATCCGGCCAGTTACCACGTGTATTGTAGAGCACATTTAACTGCTACGCTACACGAAATAATCGAACTGATTAGTGTCGTGATGCTGTGTCACTCACTCATACTGACATTTGAACACTATCAACATTTAATGATGGCAAGTTCTACTTAACCCAGTTCTCAATGTATTCATCGGTCTGCCGAAAATGATCGTCCTTATCCTAGAGATCAGCTCCGCAGCATTGATTTCGGTGTGAAGTGCTATGTAGGAGCTGATCTCTGACTGCCAAAGGGCAGCTCCGTTGGTACTTGGTCTGTGATTCTTCTGAAACGATGTTGAGCATTTATCAGTCAATTTACAGCCGACAGTATCAGTGATAACGACGTGACGCCGGAACATCACGTTGTCCAAAAACTGTAGTGGACTCATAGTAAATGGGTTCCATGACTTTATTGCCGGCAGTTATCGTCAGCATTGTTCATTTTTTATTAGTTTTAACTGCGGTACTACCACGACATGAATCAGTATTGTGATTATTTTGGAAAGCGAAAATGGAACTGAAGAAAAGATCTTTCTAATAGTATTCAAGAACTTCTGAAAACTTGAAGTTATCCGGAAACAGCAAAAAAAAACTTGAAAATGCGCTATAGCAATCCACGGTAATGTTGCTCGAAAATCTATTAAAGATAAGGATAAAGATAAAGCTCTCGACTCTGAACAATCCCTTAGGGATGCGCCATAGATTCGACTTCATTAAGCATCGTTTGGACGTGATTGAATGCATATCTGAGCTTTACAATGAGTCGCGGTGGCCTACCGATGTATCGAGCCAGTGCTACTATCCTCGCAGACAGGTCTCTTACCAATTTGCCGATCCCGGAGGGATGGATGGCTGGGTGGTCCACGGGCGCGGGGATCAATTCAACGTGCGTGTTGTAGGGCCCTCCGACCTCTGCGCCACACGAACCCTTTGAAAATCCTTTAGTACTTGTTAACTCAATGAAGAAAGAAATGTAATTTAAAGGTTGACGTAAGTGGCACTTATAAGTGCTCCATAAGTAATTTCAAAGTGCAACACCAGTTCATTTTAACTACATTAGTATTCCGGAAAATCGATGGCACACATGAAGCGGTGCAGGTCAACAAAGACACTTATAAAGCGCAAACAGAAAACACACCCGCTTAAAAAATTCGGTTAGTTACACATGGAACTTGCCCAACCGTCTAGTAAAACGCTTTTTTCTCGCATATAACTCGCTCTGTTCGTTCTCTTAGGGTTCTAATGCAGCTCATTGTGGTCGCATGTAACCCATTGGGTTGAGGTGCTTTAGAATGAACATGTCGACGTTGGTTCTATCTCATGCCTTGGTAAGACCAAGCTCTCCGCCCTCCGGGGTCACAAATGTATACACGACTTCCTAAAGACGGTAAAAACACTGAATTGATACATAAATAGGCCTCTCGCAAGTCACTGTGTGGGCCAGATAAAATCTACTAAGGCTGTGGAGTAGACGAATGCACAGCACCTCCCTAGGGTATTAAATAACACTGTTGTATTTTTGTCTCGTTGAAGAATTCCGTGCAGCCGGTAAAGATTTCTGTCGCAATTTTTACCATGATGTTGTTTCAGATTCAAATGTGAATACGGTCGATCCCTTTCCGAATGCATTACGATGTCGAACAGTGCGCTTGCACGACGTCTTCGCCGATGGTGATTGACAACTCCTCACACTTCAGAAATCATCGTCGTCACTCAATGTCTCCACCTCCCTGAACTTTCCGGAACCAGTGTTACACATAATCGTATCGGATTTTCGTTGCTTGACGCTTTGATTCCTTAGGCTACACCTCGTTCGTTAAAAGATTTATTCAATACACACATATCTGTACCGTCATCACTATAGCTAAGACAACATAAAAGAGTTCTTGGTGTCAATTTCAACACAAAAAATATAAGGGGCCTAGTTTAACGAGCTATAATGACAGCAATATAGTTGTCACAAATATTGACTATTAAGTTCAATAATAGCACTAAAAAAGGGACTACGGTAACCGTCTAGGCTCGGGTCCGTGCATGCGTAACGCGAAGCGGTCGAGGAACTCCGCGTTTCAGCTTCGTTGGCAGCACGAACGACTTGTGTTTTGTATAGTATTCGACGAGGTTGTGAAGATTGCTAAACAAAAAGCTGCTCAAAGCCTGTATGATCAGAACATTTTTAAGCTTTCGATTACTAAGATAACACCCATGGTGAATTTTTACTTATGATGGTTTTTACTTACCTAAAACTGCGATCGATATCCAAACAGAATTTAGCTTCACCATTTTTAACTGAGTATCCAATTCGCATATGGTGTATTGAGGCGGAATAAACGAAAGAGAGAACGTATCTTCCTGACTGTTCAGAGATCACGAACGATCTGGAGAAAATCAGAATCCAACTTCCACAAATCAAAGTTTCAATCAAGAACTTGACTACAGTAGACGTGATGGTGAATAGAACCAAAGAAGAATTATGGGGCGCAGGACTACAACTGAGTCATTTCCTCTGATATAATCTAACTGCCACTACAAAAAAAAATATGGCAGTGTCATGGAAACTCACCCTTCCTCACATCCAGCACCACGTAGTAATCGTTCGGCTCTCACTGAATTCAGACCGTGATGGAACCATATTTGGGCACGATTGTAGTCAGCTACCGAGACTGAAACAAGCTTAATTCGTTGTCTTAACGCTAATCAATAAATACACTCTGCACTTGCACTGCTTTTTGCAACCAGCAACCATACAGACCTGATCAGGTCACCCGACAAGCTTATTTTTCTTCCTATGTGCAAGAAATCATCTTTATTGCAGCAGCTACATGAAGTTGTAGATAAACCCACCCATACTGTAATCCATTTCACTACCGTACCGAAGCAACCGTTGTGCCCTACGATCATATTGAGGTAGTAAGCGAGGGGAACTGGACGGAATGAAGTTCATTGGAACTAGATCGCAGTCGTCAAAGTGCGCAGGTAACGAGCTCTGGAAATTTATCATTTAGTTCCTTGTAAAAAGGAAGAAGAATAACAGGACTCTTACTCTTACTATTTGTTCTAATAAGTTCAAGGAATTTTCTGCAGATCATTGGTTCTCAAAATTTCCCGCCTTATTTCGTACAATCCGTTAAGGTTAGGTATGTCGATTTCATTCAGAAACGTCTATTCATTCACTTACAGTAGTTGGCTGAGTGAAATCCATTTCTACGTAGTTGTCAGCCAGATCACCAGTAGAAAAAGAACGTCTACTGGCGTTTTTTCGGAATCGTCCGAATATTGAGCGAAAGAAATCGTTAGCGGCATGAGAAGCACGTCGACGAAACATCTGCAAGTACTGCTGGTGGTAAGGGTTCGAAAATAAGAGATATGAGTAGGATGAAGTGGAAGAGAAAGAAAAAAGATGTCGCGGCAGCGAATCATCAGAGAGGTCATGAGATCTTCAGGAATAAACGATCGATAAATGAATGGTATAGGAGATTTATAACAAATAAAGTCAAAAGGTACTCAAATTTCCGTTGTAGAGCGTGACTAAGCGCTTGGCGGAAGTGAATGCTAGCGCCAGCCAGTGGGACAATGATTGCGTCACGATTTGAAAGGACTGTAGTGCTAATCTTTTGATAAAATCATTACACTTATCAGGACGTTAACCTTTATGATAGCGAATTCTATTGGCAGTGGCAGGATGTATTAGTGGATGAGTGGCACTTTAGCGTAATGAAGAGGAAGAAGAAATGAGTATTTGGCAGAGTAAAAATGGATGGATGTCATCTTTCGCAAACACTATCAGAATTGAATGGAATGATCAAATTTCCTAATGTGTTAACAATGTCGGTCTGGCTGTGTACTGGCCTGGCTATATAGTAATATACTACTCAACTAGTGCGCCCTTAGAATATTGCAAAGCGGTAGACGAGTAAAGTAGGCTGTCCAGTTGAAGGGCACGGTTCGGATTTGAACAATCAACGAGTTTAGTGCGCCAACTAGTCAAAACGATCAATTATATATGCATAACTGGTACACCTCATTTAGTTACGTTACGTCATGCTGTGAAAGTGCAGGTGTACCTGAATGCGCTATGATAGAAACGTGCAATTACAAAAGAACATTTCTTGGTCAGCGGAGAACTCATCGAGGATGACTAAGAGTTGTAGTATCTCACTCTAACTCTTTTAATCATGTAGCCTGATGGATTCGTAATTAAACAGTATAAGAAAATCATAACCATGTCGGATGAATTCTCATTCTTCCTCCTTATTATAATTGCTCACAAAACATAATATAGTCCTTTACAGGATCGATTACGGGTGTGTATACAATAGAAATATCAACCGCTGCTAGGTTTTTAGAGTTCACCGAAATGCCCGACATTCCAGAAATGGATTTTCCGGATAAAAGTGCTGAGAACTTCCGAGATAAATTCGGTCTATTCATCCCCACTTTAGTACAGCATACTGATTTCCTCTACGAAACAGTCTCCATCTAAATCAGCTCACCTTCCTTTCCTTGGTAAATAAAGTTTCTATCGTCACCGTTCTTTCAACATTGTGTCGCTCATATGGACTATCACATAATCGTGACAAGGCCGAAAGAAGTTCAGTGAATAAGTGATTGCCGAAAAATTGTAAAAACTTTTAGAAGTTTCGATGACCACCCAATGAACTGGTGTCAGCAATAAGTTGAGTGGTGGTCAGTGATAAACGACATGACGAAATGAAGATGACAAACGTGTTTGATGAGAAGTTCAATGATTTTATTATCCGTTCAGGTCTACTATTACATCCACCACTTTATTGATGCCAGTGAGAAAAAATGCTCTATATTGTACCATTCGTTATACTTTATAAAGAACAAATATCAAAGCAATGAAAAAAAAACAATAAATAAACCGAGATGAAATAACTTAACCAAACAGTTCACAGCTGAACTGGTAACTGAACAAATATAAAAACGCAAAGGCGTCACAGTTACTATGTGAACCACTGCAAGTTTAACGCGGTTACCGTGCCAAGTACCTCAAGAGCTGCGCAGCTATCACGCATACCTAATGCTGTTGAACTTATTTAAAACATTGTTGGCACATACCTATGATAATAGATAGATTGATTAGACAACGGTGGAATTTCAGATATTTTAATGGGAACATGTATTTCTCCGAAAAGCGATAAAAAAGTCGTAGCGGTGATGAAGCTCAAACTCTCCTAATTTTCTTCCTCAACTCTGAGCACACGTTGACCGTATTCCTGCTAAGGAAGTTTTCTTTGATTGAAAAAGCAGTGAATTTCTACAGTAGTGAATAAAAATTCTCCTCACAGGTACATCTGACAGTGAGAAATTGAGAGGTAATTGAAAATGCCAACTAATAATAAAACCCAGGAAAAAAATTAGGTCCAGGAAAGAGGATAAATGGCATGTTGCTACTATCGCAGTATGAACGCCCTTTAAATTTACTACAATCCAATCAATTCTGATTTATCGAGTATTTAAAAATACGAAAACTAATTGGCTTTCGAAGATCCCTATTTACCAAGATCGACTTTCTATTAGTCTAAGAATTGGATTATATATCTCGCTTTCTTTCTCAGCAATCGCAAGGTTGTTACTCAGCACATGTTTCCTTCCTTACAAAAATAACACATACATTCCTATTTCCTATTTAATTGCATCAAGTAGGTTTAGTTCAACCAGAATCAGAACTGCTTGAACCTTAGCCATATTCAGCCCTACGATAACGTCAAATATTAGACTGGGTGATTTCCGAAGCTTTCAAAACACTTATTTGAAACAGGACTTAAGAGACTACTACTGCACTAAGTTAGAAAGTAGTAGTGTGCATTGAATGAGTCCACACTACGAACATACCAGAAGAGATGTCGTAGTGACGAAGTGAGTTTCTTAGGGTGTGACTGCTTATATATAGAAAACGCTTCACACGTGCAACCAAGTCATCCGTTTTTCGCAGTGGGCGGTACCTCGTGATGGGCGGGGCAGGTATGAATTATGGATGACGGATTGTGATATAAGGATGACGCAATGGAGTGATGATAATGGGAAGAGAATAACCCACAGAGAAAAGAAGGATATCGGCGTGCAGAGTGATACGTCATGGAATGACAAAATGATCTAGAATATGCTAATGAAACTGCAAACCAGTGGTTAGATGGATCCTGTGAGACGCATAAGTTTTTTGGGGTGGCTCTGTGCCGTACACCTCCGGGGTTCAAGGGGTTGGTTTGCAGGAGAGTTGGCAAAATGGTACTAGACTTTCCTGGAATAGTGTTTAACTTTTTTTGCTGTCTATTATTTGTATTATGGTAGGGTATTACGTGAAATACAACCATAATGATGCTGAGATATTTGCACAACTCGGACCCCAGGCTAGATGCAAATTCACGATTTGCTTAACTGGGCTCAGACCCAGTTTGTGTTATGCAAATCGCTGCTGTTGACATTTGCTTGCCGGTAGCACCAAAAAATCAAAATATAGACGAGGAAAAGTTAGAGTAAATGCTTCGGCGGTGCGGCGGGTAAGACGTGAGAGTGAGGAAAAGGTAATGGCGGGTTCGAATCTAACCAGGCGTCCAAATTTTGCAAATATCTCGGTATCATTGTGGTTGCTTTTCTGGACTAATAAAAACACATCACTTGATAGTTCGTTAGATTCGCGCAATTCAAAGTGTAGACAAAATATGAACTCATACATTTCCACGAATGGAACCGATGCATAGTGCATTCCTAAGGAACTGACCACGGCGAAGGCTTTAGCCCTTCTTTTTATCAAGCACTGGAACCGACTCGCTAACTTTCTACTTACCACTTAAAACTTGGAGGGAACTTGCAAAACTGGTAATGTTGGCAAAGGTGCTTGCTTTCGATTCGTCCATTCGACTACTGATCATAGGAATCATTGCACTCATGGAAAGATTTTGGGCGCTGTAAACCTCATTCCGTTTCACAAGCGCTGGCGAATGCCTTTGATGAGGACTTGAACAGGTCCACCATATGCGGCTATGTTCCAGTGGAAACCCAATTCAAGTTAATGAGGGAAGAAAGCGAGACAATCAAATGCTCCTCACTAGTGAATTCCATCGTCTTCTTTAATGATGGGTGCAAATGTAGCAACGAAAAGAATGACGAAACGATAGGGGTCCGCATGACTGACCGACTAAATAGATATTAACCATGCGCTGCCTATCAACGATGAATGAATTATGCCTACCAGATATAGTAGGGAAGGAAACATCAAATACTCCAAACTCCGTACAATCGACATTTAGTTTCCTTCCCTACTATATCTGGTAAGCATAATTCCACATAAAGTAAGGTTATTCACCATATAAGAATTTGATAGCTCTAAAAGCTTAAAGCTCTCGGCGTTGATCAATCCCTAAGGGACGCAGCACGCATTCGGCTTCATTAGGCATCGTTGGAGGTGAGTGAATGCATGTCTGGCCTTTACAATGACTCAAGGTGGCCTGCCGATATATCGAACCAGTGCTACTATCCTCCCAGACAAGTCTGGTACCAATTTGCCGTTCCCGGAGGAATAGAAGGCTTGGTGAGCCACGGACGCGGAGATCGATCCCGTGTGCAATAGGACAAAGACATAAAAAAGCACTGTATGCAAGAACGCTTTATTAATATTAATTGTTTACTAATAATTTAGTTTATTTATTTTACCATTTATTTTATTAATAATTAATTTAATATTATTAGTGAATTTCCACTCGTATTCCATTAATGAAGTTTATTAGCTTACTTCTACTTAACGTCATTTATGATTAACAATGAGTTCAACGGTGTTCAAACGCCATCACAGAACATCGAAATGTCCTCGATCTTGTCAGTTTTTCCAATCTTTCACTAGAGATTCTATCTGTATCAATCAGTTTTCTTCTTGTATCCATTGTCAATACATATTTCACACAATCCTATGACGAAAAGTAGGCAGTTATAGCAAGTTAAAGTGAATCGGCGAAAGGACATTAAGTATTAGCTTAGTTGAAATGATAGCTTTTAGGAATCAAACACTAGCAAGTTGAACTCCTAGATTTTTTTTGGACTTAGGCTTAGGCTTAGCCCCCTCCTAAGCCTAAGTCTAAACCATAGAAACATGGACTAGCATTATTTCCAGATTCTACTACCCATTTTATGACTATGTATTTACTGTAACCACTGTTTTTACATGTTATACACTTTCTTAATGGCTCGGAAGTACATAATCTAGGCTCTGAAGCGCTTTAAAGAAGTGTCGAAGTTCCACACAAAGCATGAAAAAGAGCGAGACAGTTCTAAGCAATAGCTGAAAAGATAAAAAAGTGAGACTGG